AGATGTTGCCCTGTGACTCTTCCAGGACTCTCTCGGGTTCCTGGAGCCCTGGTCTCAGCACCTCCAGACAACCTGCCCTTCTGAAGTGATCCTTCTGATATCCCTACACAGACCTAACGGAGTGTGAGCCGTGCCACGCCTGCCTCTCCCAGTGCCCCTTTCCCGCTTAGCTCTGCTTCCCACGGGGCCTCCTTCCCACTGAGGATGAGCAGCAGTGGACCCTCAACAGGCAACTGAGGCTGCAGGCCCTGATCTGGGCCACTGCTTCCTGTCCAGTCTAGTCAACCTGGGGCGCTACCTCTGCCATGAGAGTTTCTCTCTAAGAGGAAACCACACTGAGAGGCAATGCCCTTACGTCACCGCTGTCCCCAGCAGGGGAATTCGGTCTCCATCCCAGAACAGCCTGAGCAATAGGCAGGGAACCAAGGTTTAGGTGCAAGTATCCCATTCCTGGAACCTGTGGGTACTCGGGAAAACTGGGTAAGGCAGGAGACCAGTTTCCAGATCCAGATCACAGAGTCACAGCAAACCAGCATCAACGGTGACTTGATGCTGAGGTACCAGTGTCAACACCCAAGACTTCCTTTTGGGTTGTTTTTTATTATTATTATTATTGATTTCGGAGAGGAAGGGAGAGGGAGAGAGAGATAGAAACATCAATGATGAGAGAGAATCATGGATGAGTTGCCTCCTGCACACCCACTACTGGGGATCGAGCCCACAGCCTGGGCATGTTCACTTGACCAGAATCAAACCCAGGACCCTTCAGTCCACAGGCAGGCTTTCTATCCACTGAGCCAAACCAGCTAGGACAATACCCAAGACTTCTTATGTCCTCAGAGGATCAAGCCTGCTTCCAGCGTGGCTGTAGGCGCTGGTCAGCTGCTTAGGCGATAGAGGGATAGAGCGAGCTGTAGTGGAGATAAAAATGAAACCACTTTCACACCAACTCCAAGAGGCCCAAGAGCAACACTACATACCTGGTATGTCTTCAGGTAGCCCATACCTCTGGTTCTTTCATTCGACTAGTGACTCGTTTTTTTCAAAGTCTGAATATGGTATAAAAGATTTCCCTGAAGAAGGCTTTAATTTGTAAATAATTTTTTGAGCTATAATTAACATATAACATTATATTCGTTTTAGATGTACAACATGATTTGAAATTTGTATATATTGCAAAACAATCACCACAATAAGTCTAGTTAGCATCCATCCAACATGTAATTACAATTTTTTCTTGTGATAAGGACTTTTAAAATGTACTCTCTTAGCAACTTTCAACTATACAATACAGGGTTATTAACTATAGTCACATCCCCAGTACTTACTTATTTTATAACTGAAAGTTTGTACCTTTGACACTCTTCACCCATTTCCCCTGGACCCCCACCTCGGGCAAACACCAATCCTGAAGAAGGTTTTAGAATCAAGCAGGTATGTGCTTGAGTTATGCCTCTGCCACTTTCTGGCCGTTTAATATTGGGTCAGACTTTCTGACTTTCTGCTTTATTTTCTGTAAAGAAAGGATTTCAGTACAGTTCTGGTAATACTATTGTGATGACTATCATCAATCTCAGCACATAGAATGGTTTTCCCAAACTTGTCAGCACATTTTTAATCGCCTAGAGCAGTGGTCGGCAAACCGCAGCTCACGAGCCACATGCAGCTCTCTGGCCCCTTGAGTGTGGCTCTTCCACAAAATACCACGTGCGGGCACACATGTACAGTGCAATTGAAACTTCGTGGCCCGTGCGCAGAAGTCAGTTTTCGGCCTGGGCGAGTCTATTTTAAAGAAGTGGCGTTAGAAGAAGTGGGAGTGTCGGTCAGTCGGGCGACTGGAGAAGCGGCGCAGGTGCAGGCGGGCGGAGGGATATGCAGGAGTTGAGTGATTCATGCACGAGCTGAGTGAGCCAGTCAATCAGCAGTCTCATGTGCAGTGGTTAGTGCTAGTCACGTCTGCAAATCGAGCGCGGGTGACAAAAGTACCTACTCGAAGCATAAAATTACCTGTATTTTTCCAACCGGCTGCAAATCCTACAGGTATTGTTGTCATCAATTTAAGAGTTGTAATTCTTTCATGTTGGTGACTTTATTATTATAAAATGAAACATTTTTTTAGGTGCCCTGTTTGAGAGGGCTACAAAGAAGAAGCAAAGAAAAACGGAAGATGAAAATCGTGAATTTAACGTTGAATTTAAAGTTGAATGTACCTACCTATATAGTTTAAGTTTAAAAAATTTGGCTCTCCAAAGAAATTTCAATCGTTGTACTGTTGATATTTGGCTCTGTTGACTAATGAGTTCGCCGACCACTGGCCTAGAGAGCTTCAAAAAACCTGATGCCTGTGTCCCACCTCCCGGAGAGTGTTTCTGCAATGTGGCCCAGGGTTTGGAGTTTCTCAGAGATTCCCAGATGATGCTAAGGTTCAGACAAGTTTGGCATTGAGACTGGCAAAAGCCTGTCCTATAATGAACATTGAATATATGTTAAATGAATGGAAACAATTAGTGCCTGGCCCACACTAGACTTTCCAGCATGTTTGGCTGCCTTCCCTTCCCTGACCATCTCCCCGCTCTGTTTTTATTGCAACGTCTGAAGACTTAACGCTGGGTGTGATTCCAGTCGACGTGGCTGTCACTCATGGGTGGGCACATGCGCAGAAGGCTCTGGTACCACGTGCTGTGATGCCCGACAGGAGGAGGGGAGGAGAAAGAAGCGACCGCGCTGCCAGGGGCGGCCCATAGAGCTCCTGTTAAGGGAATGTCTAATGAGTTTGCTTTCAAGTGCGCCGTACACAGCAAAGCCCCGGAATGCTAATCACAAAGTCCCCTTGGAAACCAGAGCCTAGTTTTGTGCTCTCCCTGCGGCTGATCCTGGCATGAGCCCGAACGCACAAAGGATAAGCCGGAGGCAGAGTTTCAGCTGGTCCTGAGTTCTCTTATTTTTTGGCTTTTATATGCAACATTTGTTGCCGTAAATCCTTTGTTTAGTGTTCCTGGGTCAGCCATCTGAACGTATCAAAGTTCCAAAAAGTTGAATATGTGGTTTATTGGTTTCAGTGTCCTTTTATGGCTCTTGGAGAACGGCTCTGAATTCTGAGAGCCAGGGGGCCGTGTAAATCACTCTGCGATTTGGAAGCCAGCATCGTCTCTCCTTCCCACAAATAGGAGGGCTGTAAGGCTGCCGGGTTTCAGACGGGGGAGAAAGGGCTGTCCTTCCACTGGCTAGCTGAGTTATTACGTGCTGATGAGTAAAAGCAATACTCCGTGTCTGGAGCTGAGGGCTGGGATATTGTTTGATGCGCAACACTTATCTTTTATGCTCTTTATGATTCAGAGCAAAGTCTCACATTTCACCTCAATAACACAATAGAAACATTTAAGACAGCTTTTTTTTTTTTTAAGGCCAGTCTCAAGAACTGTGTGATCATTTTCTGCTTGACCCGAAAATCCTGATAGAGTCAGGCTGGTTTTCCTTAGAAACAAAACCCATCACATATTACTCCTTCAGGAGGTGAGCTCTCCAGCCTGCTCGGTTTTTAAGATCTGCATTATGAGTAGAGAAGACTCTTTTTGTACATGTATTTTTCAATCATAGTTGACATACAATATTATATTAGTTTCAGGTGTACAGCAGAGGAATTAGACATGTATATACCTTACCAAGTGATCACTCTGGTACATCTAATATCCATCTGGCAGAGTTATAACAGCATTACTGACTGTATTCCCTCTGCGCTATTTTACATCCCCATGACTATTTTTGTAACTGGCAATTTTTACTAAGAGAATTTTTATTTCAAGGTAATTCTACACATAATAGGGATCATATAAGCACTTTGAAAGTCATGTGGGGGTTTTGTTGTTGTTGTTTTTAACTAAAAAACCCACAGATTAAAAACCTGACACTGAGCCCTTGTAATAGTGAGTTGTTTAGGAAAATAAGGATATGCTACCTTTGTTAATATTTAGCACTATGTAATGTTTCACATATTGCATTTGGTATTGAAAACAATTGAGCTTAAGCCATGTTTCCATCACTCTCTTTTAAATTTCTTACTTTTTTTCATCCAAAAAAAATGGTCAGTCTCAAGAACTGTGTGACCATTGGGGGAAAAAATTCCTTATCCTAGGAATACAGTGTTCTTCTTCAGAATTTAAAAGTAAAATGGTATGTAAGACAGCTTTATTGTGTATGGTGTTTCTCTCCTACCAGTTTCAAGCCGCAGTCCTCTCGAAGTGATAAAACAAATCCCTCTATTGTCTATCACCTTTTACTGCCATTTCAATTTGTTAGAACAGGGGTTGCCCTTCACATAGCACATAGATATCGCAGCTTTTAGTTGGTTTGTTAACCCTCAGCATTAGAGGAGCCAAATCCTCAGGTGGGTCCTGGTCCCTGGCCACCTTCAGGCAAGACAGCATCCAGGTCACATGTGGTCCTTGTGTGGCGGTCAGTGTGAGGCATACTAGAAAAATGAGTTCCAGAGAAAGGATTTCAGTATCTCTTTCTTCAGTTGCACAAGAAGATTCAAAAACATCTAATACTCACTGAATACTTTTCAACACTCTCTCGCTCTGTGGTGGTGGCAATTCCCAGTGTCCCAAAAAAGGGAATCCTCTTACCAGTTGGACCACTTTTTTCTTATGCTTCTCCATTAGCAAAAGGCTCAGTTTCCTTCATACTCTGAACTTTGGACATGAATTTGTGAGTATGGCTTTGTTTGCCTCTGAGTTAGCAGCGTGAATCCAGGATGTGGAGTTTCTTCTGACAGGTCTGGACAGCTGAGTCATGCTCCATGTTCTCACGGTGAACCCTCTCTGGGTCCCAGGTATCCCACAGACCCCTGATGTACAAGCGTACCTCTGGGGTGCCCTTTGTGAGTCTTGCACCCCAATTCCTCATTGGCAACATTGGTTGTAAGTGACATTAACAGAATCCCAGTGCTGGGCAAGGACATCAGTTTCAACACAGGGCTTTCCATCTGCTCTCTCCCACAGGGTCCGGTGGCCTCAGCCGCAGCCACGCTGTCTGCCCTCTCCCCTGGGCCTGGCCTTCCGCCTCCCCCGCCTCCTCCACCTCCTCCCGGGCCACCTCCACTTTTCGAGAATGAAGGCAGCCAAGCGCAGTCCTCCCCTTCACGCTCAGCTTTATTTGCACAACTGAACCAAGGGGAGGCCATTACGAAAGGTGAGAAACATCAGCTCTCACCTTGGAGCTGTTTCCCTAGAGGCACACAGGTCCCCCAGAGCCCACAGTGATGGCTGCACCCTTCCACCCCAGTCCCCAGCTCACAGGGAGCTGCTGTGGGGAAGGCAGGAGCCTGCAGTGTCTTCATCTGGGGTAGATGGACTCAGTGGGCGGACCAGAAAGAACTCAAAGACCCTAGGTTCTAAGTCGACCACTGCACGCTGCCTCAGCACTTCAGCCCCTGATGTTATGGCACCATCTACAACCCAGGCATCAAGATCAAGTGAAATAAAAATAACAAATGACAAACAATAGCACCTGTGTCCTCAAGCCTTGCACAGGCTTGTCAAGGAATCATATCATTGAACTACTTTCTCCTCACAGTAAACAGTTAATTTTTTTTTAAATCATACAACATTTAATAAAGTCCTGTTGCCAAACACCTTATGCAAATGTAGTTTTGCATGGGTAATAGGAATTACAGTATAAGTGTCCCTATGAACTAGGATGGCAGTTAAGAACCCAAAATTCTGAATTTTTCTCTGGCTTCAACTAGCTGCACTTTCTCATCTGGAGAGTGAGGGAATGGATCTGTAACCCTAAATGATCCTGTACTCTGACATATACTCATTGGAATGCCCTTACCTTTTGGCTATTGGGCGGAATGATTTAGCCATGGGGGAAATAAGTGATCCATTTTGGCACCATGGTTTTCTTTTTGCAGAACTTTTATCTGTCATCTTATCTCCTTAAAGAAGAGGTTCCTCAAACTGAAAAATGCTTACAGTGTTTCCATTAACTCTAACTTATACACGTCTCAAATTCTGCATATTAACTTGACTGCTATGAAAATAGCATTAAAAAAATTCTTGTGCTGTTTACATGTGTCACTCTAAGAAGACAGGGACGTTTCCCTTTGCATAACCTACACAGAACTGTGTCTGCGTTGCCTTCCCAGGGCTGCGGCACGTCACGGATGCGCAGAAGACATACAAGAACCCCAGCCTGCGAACTCAAGGAGGACAAACTGCATCTCCCACCAAAAGCCACTCCCCGGGCCCCAAGGCTCCCCAGTCACGTCCTCTTCAGAAACATGCCCCTGTGTTCGAGCTGGAAGGGAAGAAGTGGAGAGTGGTGAGTGAAGCCTGTAGCCTTTATTCCTGACGCACTCTGACGAAAGGCAAAACTGTACCAGGGCCTTAAAGATCCAAGTGAAATGGCTACACTAGAAACCAGGGCGTTTTTGGATGCTTCCATAAACATTTTTTATCATTATTTCCCATTTATTCTTTCCTTCAACTTTTAAAATTACTTTTAATTGTGGTAAAATAATGTAACACAAAATTTACCATCCTAACATTTAAGTCAGCGGTTCTCAACCTGTGGGTCGCGATCCTGTTGGCGGTCAAACATCCCTTTCACAGGGGTCGCCTAAGACCATCCTGCATATCATATATTTACATTACGGTTCATAACAGTAGCAACATTACAGTTATGAAGTAGCAACGAAAATAATTTTATGGTTGGGTCACAACATGAGGAATTGTATTTAAAGGGCCAGAAGGTTGAGAACCACTGATTTAAGTGAACAGTTCAACGGCATTAAGTATATACTTTGTGCCACCATCACCACCATCCATCCACAGAACTCTTTTCATCTTTAAAACAGAAACTCCATACCCCTTAAACACGAACTCCTTGCCCCCCCCCCCTCACCTCAGCCCCTGGCAACCACCACTCTGCTTTCTGTCTCTATGAATCTGAGTCTCTCCTCTTTCCATAAAAAACTCACCTGCGCCCCATGCTGATCGGCTGTAACATGTTTCATTCTACCACACTGATGGTGGTGCTGATATAGCCTACCGCTTCCCCCACCACCTCCACCCCGTGAGCAGGATAAAGACACGTTGAATGAAGCTAGTGTCCCCCTGCCAATCCCAGAGCTTCCCTAAAGATTGCGGACCAAAACCACAGGAAAGGTTACCGTGGTCTGAAAATACACCGAGATTTGCCCAACTCGTAGTTGGCACCGCAGACTTTGCTGCAGCATCATTAAGTCCAGACTCACCATCAAGCTCTCCCATCCCTGCTCCAGCCCCCAGCCCCTAAGCAGGGTGCCTGACACCTGACTGTTTTCAAATTGGCACCAACCCTCCTTACAACCAGTGGTTCCATCTGATTCCAACATTGCAATAACAAAGTGAGACTTGTGGTTTGGGCTGTAAGAAAATGGTTCTAAAAGAAGAAACATATTAAAAAGCTATAATGAGCCCTAACCGGTTTTGCTCAGTGGATAGAGCGTTGGCCTGCAGACTGAAAGGTCCCAGGTTCGATTCCGGTCAAGGGCATGTACCTTGGTTGCAGGCACATCCCCAGTAGGAGGCGTGCAGGAGGCAGCTGATTGATGTTTCTCTCATCAATGTTTCTAACTCCCTCTCCCTCTCCCTTCCTCTCTGTAAAAAATCAATAAAATATATTTTTAAAAAATAAACAAAAAGCTATAATGAATGCATGCTGAGCTCCATAGTAATTTCAGGATGCAATGGATTAAATTTATCTACACATCCTTACATTTAATGTTTGCATATGTTTTAATCGCAGGAGTACCAAGAGGACAGGAATGACCTTGTGATTTCAGAGACTGAACTGAAACAAGTGGCTTACATTTTCAAGTGTGACAAGTCTACCCTACAGATAAAAGGGAAAATAAATTCCATTACAATTGGTAGGGCAGAACTATGGCTCTATAGTTACCGTGATGAGTTGCTTGTATAAATGTGATGTGTATATTTAGTGGAGTGTTTTTTTCCTAGACAACTGTAAGAAGTTTGGTCTGGTGTTTGACAATGTGGTGGGCATTGTGGAAGTGATCAACTCTAAGGATATTCAGATGCAGGTAAGTGCCCTTTAATCCTGCTCTGCCCCCAGCATGGCTTTGCACAGACCATCCAATCTGCCTGCAAGAGGCCCTTCGTGTCTGCCTACAACACTCCTGTTCCCTTCCCTCTAACACAGCTCTATCATCACCTCCCCTCTGAAGCCCTCTCTTACTTCCTAGGCAGTGTTGATTCATCCTTTTCAATCTATTAGAATACATTCTAGTGTGCATTCCAAATACTGGTTTACCACCTCTATTTCAAAAATAGCTCATTAATCTTTACAGCCCCAGAATTTGCAAAGTACCCGCACATAGTAAGTGTACAATAAATGTTTGATGAGTAAGAGATTTAAATGAATCAACTAATGAATGAACAAAAAATACCAAGAGATTCTCCAAACATAATAACGCCATCCTGAAGACAATTTTCCCCCTCAGGAAACTATTGATTCTGAGGAAAAGCAGGGGTGGGGAGGGAGGTGTTTTCTGAAGAGTCAATGAGATCAGATATACAACCTGGAAAATAGGGTAGAAATTGAACTTGCAAAACAGGAGAAAATCTGCATCCCTTTAATAATTTTGATTTAGCTGAATGGGATTTTGTACTATGCAAAAAGTTAAAGGACTTCTTACCTTTGGCCAAGTATAACTTATTTCTTTGATTACACTCTTTTCATATTGCTAATTACCCCTTATTATCTGATATTTCCTAGTAATGTTTGTTAAAATTTTGTTCTGGTTTTATAGATCTTTCTTGTTTTACTGGGCTTTTCATCACTGACACTTTAAAAACATTTTTTTTTAAATATTTTATTGATTTTTTACAGAGAGGAAGGGAGAGAGATAGAGAGTTAGAAACATCGATGAGAGAGAAACATCGATCAGCTGCCTCCTGCACATCTCCCACCGGGGATGTGCCCGCAACCCAGGCACATGCCCTTGACCGGAATCGAACCTGAGACCTTTCAGTCCGCAGGCCGACGCTCTATCCACTGAGCCAAACCGGTTAAAAACATTTTTTATTAAATGTATTGAGGTAATGTTGGATAATAACATTAATATAAATTTCAGAGGTACAACTTTATAATATAACATCTGTATACTCCATGGTTTGTTCACCACCCAAAATCTAATCTCCTTCTGTCACTATATATGTGACCCCCTTTACCCTTTTCACCATCTCCCCACCCTTTTCTCCTCTGGTAAGCATCATTCTCTTGTCTGTCTCTTTCTTTGTTTGTTTTATTTGTTCATTTGTTGCTTTTGGAGTCAATAAACACAAACTGTAAAGAAAAGGACAGATGACTCTAACTACATTAAATTCAAAATTATATAGTAAAAGACATCAGACACAAAGCTGAGAGACAAGCCATGGGTGGAAAAATGACACTTGTAGATAATCAAAAAGGATTGTAACCAGAATTTATAAAGAACTTAACACAAATCATTACGAGAGAAAAAAACAATAGCCCAATAGAAAAATGGGCAAATAATATTAAGGCAATCCAGAGAAGAAAAAAACTGAATTTTTTTAAATATATGAAAATATTCATGACCCACTTAACAGAAATAGGAATACAAATTAGTACTATAATTACATATATCTTTTCACACTCAAAAGTTTTGCTTTTAGGCTGTCTTTACTTTACAAGGGACATATTAGCTGAAGCTCATGTATGTCACAACTGTGAGCTTACGGACTGTGGTATATTAAAGTCTCATGGTACAGAGGTTGTTAAAGAAGTGCAACAATGGGACCTCTGATACTTTGGTGTTAGGAGAAGAAATCTATCCCCCTCACTGTGCAGAGTAAATTGGCACCATCTAATAAAGTCAGAGATATTCATAGCCTGTGCCCGATCAACTTCACTCTTAGGTTTGTGCACTAAAGAAGCTCTACGACATACATCCGTGAGATGTGTAAAAATGTTTATTGCAGTATCATGCATAACAATAAAAAAAACAATTTAGCCCTAACCGGTTTGGCTCAGTGGATAGAGCATCGGCTTGTGGACTGAAGGGTCCCAGGTTCGATTCCGGCCAAGGGCATGCACCTTGGTTGCAGGCACATCCCCAGTAGGGGGTGTGCAGGAGGCAGCTGATCGATGTTTCTCTCTCATCGATGCTTCTAACTCTCTATCCCTCTCCCTTCCTCTCTGTAAAAATTCAATAAAATATATGTTTTAAAAAAAACAATTTAAATGTCCACCAACTGGTGAGTGAATAAATAAATTCCATTAATAGAATATTGTACAGCAGTTAAAATGTATGAACTATAGTTACATGTATAGAAACATAAATCTCAAAAGCAACACTGAGCAATAAATGCAAGTTACAGAATCAGACATTGGCAATGTGTCCCTTTACATAAAGATTGAAAACATGCAAAACAATACGCACATGTTAATTATGCTTATGAGGGCTCAAGGTCACTTTACTCAAGGGACAAACACAGAAGGTTATATAAACGCAGAATTCAGAAGAGTTAGTTACATCTGGGAGGAGAAAAAGGTTGGTGAATGAGGTGGTGGGTGGTAATCTTCAAAGATATTGTAAGATTACAGTCCTAAAAAAGGCAAATAAGCCAAATGCTCAACTCTGATAAGCTGTTTGGCAGGCATATCCATATTTATATATTTTTACAAGATTCCTTCTATGTTTAAAATATATCATAATTTTTTAAGGATATGGTCAGGATTTCTAAAAATAATGTGGAAGGGTAAGCCATGTTATCTGTAATTCAGAGACAAGAGACATTTTACTGAATACTTTCTGAACTTTTGAGTGTTCAAACCAAGTGAATGTCATTATCTATTTAATACATTTACTACGTTGTTTTAAAAGGGCCTGGACACAAGAGAGACAGAAAGCAGATTAGTGGTTGCCTGGGGTGAGGACAGGGATTGACTGTAAATAGGCACCAGGGTTATTTGGGGGATGATGGAAATGGCCTAAAACTGAATGGAAGTGGTGGTTGCACTACTCTGTAAATTCACTAAATATAATTAAATTGTACACTTAGACTAGGTGAATGTTATGTTTGCAGATTTTACCTCAATACTGTTAAAAAGATTGAAAGGGAGAAAAGGGCATGGACCAAAGTTAATATGATTTGATCCAGCAATTCTAGTTTTGGCAAACTATCCCAGAAAAGAGTGCATGTTATGAGAGAAGAGACTAGGGTACTCCATGGAAATTTTGGAAACTTTTATGGAGAAATAAATTTTTGAAAAGCAAAACTCATCCAGAAACATGTATTAAATGCCGGAGCACTGGCCTGGGCATGGTCACATGTCACCTGCCACTCAGCAGAGGAGCTACTCTTTGGCCCAGTTCTGATAAGAAGCAATCTCTGTTCTCAAAGTGTTCACAGACTACCAGGGGGAAGGGCGTGTGTATAACCAACTCTCTACAGTATCGACCAAAATGCTGTGGAAATGACAATTCCTACCATATCGGGGCTATTTCTTAAATTCTACTATTGCTTTTCAGATTTTCAGGGCGTTTCAGCATTATCAACATAATACTAGTATAGCAATATATAAATACACTATAATAGCATAATGTGCTGGCCTCACCCGGTCTCATAAGCAAACCACCTACGACTCACTGGCAATTTATTCCTTTGCTATTCATACAGTTCTGGTCAGTACGTGTATGCTCTTCAGCACTATAAAATACACAAGTCTAGATTGCCAAAACATTATTGCTGACACATTTTTGAAATATAGATATATGTATTATTATTCTATTTTATTTATGGCAAAGCACTGTGCTTACCTGACCTTGAACTACCTCTGCCTTTTTCTTTTTTTTTTTTTTTACCTGGAGCTCAAGTCCAAATCAGTGTCCAGTTTCTGTGGAGAGAGGAGAAAACAGAGAAGTGTGGTGACCTGGCTAGACTCCCCCAAAGGAATTCTTTACATCACCTGCACTATCAACAGGAGTTGCTCCTTTGGTTTGCAATCCAGTCTTTTCTTCAGGGTGAAAGAGGAGATGTCTTTATCGCTTCAATTACCATTACAAAAAGGAAAATTATAGAGATGTAATATGGTCATTTGGGGCAACAGTCTACCCCTATAGAGATTTGGGGGGGGGGGAATGTCTGAAAACTGACTGGTAAAAGAGACATTTAAGGCTGATAGAAATTTTTATAGCACTTAGATTTTTGTAAACAATACAAAGAATCTCCTCCTCTTGTGTATGGTCCCTTTTACCTATACAATGAGTGGCTTGAACGAAGTCTCCAGTTTTCACTCCTGAAATGAATACATTTCAAAATACCTAGACCCTCATTCTCTCATTTAAGCTTCGTATTCAGCCAGTGAGATTTTTATCTAGCAAAGGACTTACGTGAAAAGAATTGTAGTGTTTCTTATTTATTCTTATTTAGGTTCAGGAGAAATCTCAATTACAAGAATAATTTCTTTGCTCTTAAATGACAATATTAGCACTTGTTTTTAATCCAACTTTTACAGAGATTTGTCAAAACTAAAATTTTAAGCACATAAAGGCAATGCATCTTGTTACTTTTTATCATGAAATCAAATATATGTTTCAAATCCACTAACAGGGGTGTGAGACTTTTTCCTCAACACTTAGCTGCTGTTTTCAAATTATCCCTTTATTTTGTCTCAGGAAAGAGACCCTGAGGTTTGACAATCCCCTTGTGTGGTCCTTTCATTCTGTCCCCAAATGACACCCACCAATTCAGCCTGGAGACCGCACCTTTAACCAGCCTCCAGCTCTGACCCTGCTATTCCTAACGCTTGGTTAGGCCCTATGTGTTGTATGTATTTGGGAATATTGTAATCTTTATTTCTTTGCTTAGATTATTTTTTTTCTATTTCAGGTCATGGGGAAAGTGCCAACAATTTCCATTAATAAGACAGAAGGCTGCCACATATACCTCAGTGAAGATGCATTAGACTGTGAGATAGTGAGTGCCAAGTCATCTGAAATGAATATACTTATCCCTCAGGACGGTGATTATGTAAGTACCTTTCAAAAGACTAAAGAATTGTTCTGGAGCCTTTATCGTTAACCTTCTTTGAGATTGATTCAATTAGCTTCCAATCTATGAGCTTCATTTGTAGCCTCATTCACAGACAGGAAAGGCATTCCGAGAGTTGCCTTTGCATAATTAGCTGCCTAATATAATCCATATCTTCTTCCCTCTTAATTTCCTTGACTACACTCACTCCTAAATTTGTGACTCAAGGCAGTTCACTAATCATTAGCGTAATGGGCTAGCTTCTATCAAACTGTACAGCGTACATCGGAGTCCATATTAGTTGGGAGTAAATATTGTCCTTTGCTGTGGCGGAGGCAGACAGAAACGAGGGAGAAATGCTTTGGGGAAAGTGGAGGGGGGAGCAGTAACAATAAGTAGACCAAAGCATGTCGTTATTCTTATGCCAGAGGGTCTCAAACTCAGCACACGAATTCGCTAGGAAGCTTCATGAAAATGCCTGCTCCCAAAAGGGATTTGGGAGACTTGGAGCTGAGAATCTGTATTTTAGTAAGCCAACAGTGTACCCAGCAACCCTTCAGAGCAACACTAGCCTGAGTGATTTTGCCGCCATTTATTTTCTTTGCCTCCTTTCCCCGACAGAGTGTGCGGGTGTCCTCACACATTGCCAAGGAAGTATAAAGAAGCATATTCTCTGCATCCCCAGTGCGGTGGACCTGCCAGTTGTTACTGTTTGGAAGCAAGGACTGCTTCCCACTAGTCATTACTTCTGAGATCGTTCCCTGATTCTAACTGTGCGAGGGGGTAGTGAAGCAGGGAGGGTGGGAGAAAACATGACATGGCTGGCACACGTTTGGATGTAGAGGCCCCCATCAACCTGTGGGTCAATCAACCAACTATCTACACCACTGTCAGCACTTGGGTTAATCTCCTTAGACAGACAACATGACTGTTCTCATGTTCTTTCCTTGCAAGGCATTTGATCCTGTCCAAAACGTCCATGGAGACACTTGGCTCATCCTATATAATAAAAGGCTAATATGCAAATAGACCGAATGGCGGAACAACCGGTTGCTATGACACACACTGACCACCAGGGAGCAGACGCTCAATGCAAGAGCTGCTCCCAGGTGGCACTCCCACAGGGGGAGTGCTGCTTAGCCAGAAGCCAGGCTCATGGCTGGCGAGCACAAGGGCAGTGGCAGGAGCCTCTCCTACCTCTGCAGCAGCGCTAAGGATGTCCGACTGATGGCTTAAGCCCTCTCCCTCTGAGGAGAGCCATCAGTCAGACATCCCCTGAGGGCTCCCAAATTTCGTGCACTGGGCCTCTAGTAGTAAATATAATCCTGCTCTTCTGCAAAATTCAAATCCTAATCCACCTACCTAATTCCATGTGCTTTCACAAGCCAGGCTACTGAGACAAGAAGAGTGATTATTGGCAATATAGCCTCAACACAATGATGGGGTCAATAAAACATGGTACTATTCTTTATATATTAATCATGTAAACCAAAACTAGAAATGAATGTTATGGGCTATTTGAACTCAAGAATGTTTTCTAAGTATGGACAGGACCATGCCTGCTAATTCTCCTTTCCCCAGTTCTCAGTAAGTTCTCCAGCACTATCCAGACACACCTACATATTGCAGCCTATAGTTCATTGTTTAAGTGTAAAAAACAAGACTCTGCCAGCACTCTGCTAGGTCTATGGACAGCCTAACCCTGGGCTAAAGGAGGCTCTTTGCATGTTCTCCACCTAAAACAAACTACTGAAGTGCTATAGCCACTAAAGAATGGCCCCAGAGAAGCGAGCCAAAAATGAGGGTGAGGCCTGGCCTTTCCAGCTATTTAAGCAGAAGGCTCAGTTGCATGGGGACTGGATCTGCTAAGAAAAGTATTGGGTTTGGATGAGCACTCCAGAGTAATTAAGCTACAATCCATGGGCATGGGATCCAGACATCTGTATTTGTTAAAGCTTCCCAGATAATTTCAGTATGGAGCCAAGAGTGGGATCCACTGATCTAAAGAATGAGTACAGGTCAAAATCTGAGCATGAAAATGTAGTCTTCCCTCTCTTCCTAAATTACCTTGTGCCCTCTGTCCTAGGCCCTCTTCATGCATTTTCCAGGTGGAGGTCATAGAGAGCAATACAGAAGTCCTGCTGTGGGCACTATCATCTGGCAATGGATGGGAGCAATGATTCATCCCAAGAGAAATCTGCCATCATATCACTCTCACTTTACACCCCCAAAAAAAGTTTGGAACAGCTGCAGTGCAGTTATTATCAAAGAGGTGCCTTCACCCCAGAGTAATATTCTTTTACTCATCAAGAAGAGCCCCAGAAGGGGTATTGGCTACACACACACACACACACACACACACACACAAGTTCATTAAGATTGTGGCTTCTTTGCTTCATCAAAAGTCTTTACATTGCAGATTTCACTCAAGAAGAATTCATCTCTCACTATAGAAAGGACCTTCCCTTTAAAACAGTGGTTCTCAACCTGTGGGTCGTGACCCCTTTGGGGGTCAAACGTCTCTTTACAGGGGTCGCCTAAGACCATCGGAAAACACATATATCCTATATAATAAAAGGGTAATATACAAATTGACCATAACAGCAGAAAAACTTGGAATGACTGGTCACTATGACACACACTGACCACCAGGGGGCAGATGCTCAATGCAGGAGCTGCCCCCTGGTGGTCAGTATGTTCCCACAGGGGGAGCTCTGCTCAGCCACAAGCCAGGCTGACGGCTACCAGCACAGCGGTAGTGGCGGGAGCCTCTCACATCTCCTCAGCAGCGCTAAGGATGTCTGACTGCCTTGAGTGCACAAATTTTTGTGCACCGGGCCTCTAGTAATTACATATTGTTTTGTGATTAATCACTATGCTTTAATTATGTTCAATTTGTAACCATGAAATTGGGGATCACCACAACATGAACTGTATTAAAGGGTCGCGGCATTAGGAAGGTTGAGAACCACTGCTTTAAAATAAATAAATAAATAAATAAATAGCTTCTTCCAGAGGAAATAGTTGGATCCTACATCTAGGAAGATATGGACTCATGTGTGTATCCCACGAAACTTCACATCTCACCAATGGTGAGCACAGGCATCCATTATCAGACAGTGTGGTTTCAGCAGTGCTGTGTGTACAGAAGTCCAGGGAGGCCACAGAAGCTGGGGCCAAGGACTACTCCTCCTCACCTTCCTTATTCATCCTCTTCTGAAATGACTGGAGAACCTCTCTGGGGAAAGGAGAAAGTTTAAACTACTTTTATTTTAGTTATTCTGCGTGTGTGTGTGTGTGTGTGTGTGTGTGTGTGTGTGTGTTGCATGTGTGATGTATGTGTGTGGTATGTGTGCATGTATTTCACAATGGGAAGAGTAGGGTGGCAGAATGAAGGGTAAGAAATTGATGCATAACCTGAAGCATATCTTTATATTTCATCAAAGAGTAGCCCAGTGGCCCCTGGGAACTTGTTGAAAATGCAGATTGCCATTCTCTTCCCCAGATCTATGAATCCATATCTGCATTTTAACAGTTGATTCCTGTACATGATTGAATTTGGTAGAGAATCATGGGTAAGAAAGGCTGTCTAGGTGTGAAGTCTGGCTGTTCTACTTGCTAGTAACGTCATCTAGATAATAGCTTAACCTCTCAGGCCTCTGTTTGCTGCAGATGGCATCTCAACAGTATCTAGCTCACAGGGATGTAGGCGATTAACTGAGTTCACATACTAGTATATCCAGTGCTTTAAAAATGTCTGGTTCTTGTCCAGTTTGGCTCAGTGGATAGAGTGTCCGCCTGTGGACCAAAAGGTGCCGGGTTCGATTCCAGTCAAGGTCATGTGCCTCGGTTGCAGGCTCCTCCCCAGCCCAGGCCCTGGTCAGGGCACATGCAGGAGGCAAACAATCAATGTGTTTCTCTCACATCAGTGTTTCTCTCTGTCTTTCCCTCTCCCTTACACTCTCTCTAAAATCAATGGAGATTTTAGGTGAGGATTAAAAAATATATATCTGGTTCTTAATAAGTCCTAGCTTTAATGATGAGGCTCGCAGACAGTCACAGAACTGATCCATGACTATGCAAGTCTTCATGTGACATAGAAGTCTTCTCCATGATACAGGTTTGAGTTCCACAAAATGACTTTGTCCATCGTATGACACTAATCAGCCTTCCATCTGTTTGCAAAAGGAAGCCTTCTTAAATAACTGAGTTTTCCTTGCCTTTTTCCAGAGAGAATTCCCTATTCCTGAACAATTCAAGACTGCATGGGATGGATCCAAGTTGGTCACTGAACCTGCAGAAATTATGGGTTAACCTCCAGAGAGACCAGACCCCCTGACCTGTATCACCCCACCCCACCCCTCAAAAAAAAAAGCAGCGTTAAAGACCTAGAAGTTGCAGTCGCTCCTACTGCTTTAGCAGTGGCCTCCAACAATTCTGTGCTATAGAAACAGCATCATTTCTGGCATGCTTTCATGGGCATTTTGAAATATTTAACATTTCTTCATGATTTGCTTTTGTGTATGACTTGAGTTCCAATGATAACTTGTGAGCATTATGCATTTAAAGGGGAAAAAAAGAATTCTGTTCCCTTCATATCATTAGCACAGTAGCTGATAAGTAAAAATATTGCATGGTTCACTTTTGCACTTATGTTTAATTGCTAGCTGGAAAATAAAACCTTCGAGAATCTAAGATGTACATTTTTACCTTTAAGACAATCTCAACATGATGTAGCAGTAGTATGCTCTGAAAAATTTGCCTTTTTTTTCTTATTTTTACCACATGTTCACCTTTATCAGCATGGATACACTGTCAGCATGAACACATATTTCAACCCATGTTTTTACAGAACAAAAGAAAATCCCATACAAAGGACTATATCCAGTTTCTTGGTCTTTGGGACACCTGTATTCTTTGCAGTTACTAAAAACCAAAAGTCAGGTCTCATGATCTGTCTTAAATATTTCCACCTGTCGTTTGGAAAACTTGTCGTTTGGCATAAAGATTTTTATGCCAAAAAATTGATGAGTGGAAGCTGATATGTTACCTTACAATTTTGCACTAAGATCAAGCTCAATTTTTGTTTTCCAATTATGCACCTGTTAAATATCAGATGCCTTGTAAGTGATGTCTTTAATGTTATATTATAGACCACTTTCTTCTTTTCCACTTGCCAGACTTGCTAACCAGTCTCAAAAACAAACATGAAAAAGCCATAAATGTATTACTTCTTCCAAAACCCAAGGAATCGTTTGTTGGTTTGGCTTGCTGCTCCTATTTTGTAGTATTGATAGTACATGCTTTTTCAACATAGTATGATACTCTTTTGTATGTTTTTAGTACATAGGGATGAAAACCTGCAACTTCTTAGATCAGATATACTGAGTTATAGTATAATGCTTGCAGACCAAACACAAGCATATATATTGTGCCTATTACAGCCTTTGGAATACATTGTTTCTGTTTTTTTAAATATCTCTATATCCATATGGAATTAAAATTACTAATGCTCCTGTACCAAGGTTTTGCAATAAAAGTTTTGTCTATATGAATAATGTTGTGGCTTTAGTAAATATCTTTTTTTCAAATGTAAATTTATTATGAAATAAAGTAATATTCTAATTGTTTAAATGCTATGATGACTTCTGGGTATTAAAGCTCTTTGTTTCTCCTTTGATTTGCCTCTTGCTCATCTGTCAGATTTAGGAAAGATAGCTGTCTTTCTGGTTGAATTAAAAAATATGTCCAGCATGCCCTCACCTTCTCTGAAGAATGGCTTCTCTGAGATACATATCACATAAAGCCATTTGTAGTTGGAATAGTCAGTCAGGAAATTCTAGAATTGTTTTATAATTCAAGGTCTCTTCACTGAGAAAACCTCCCTCATAGATCTTAGTTAATGTAAACCCCAGAAAATAAATTTAGTTTATAAGTATTACATACTAGAGGCCCGGTGCACGGATTCATGCACTGGTGGGGTCCCTTGGCATGGCCTGTGGGGATCAGGCCAAAACAGGCAGTCCAACATCCCCTGAGGGGTATAGTAGTGCTGAAGCGGCAGGTGGCTGGGGAGGAGCCCGAGTCCAGGCCGGGTGCCATGCCACTCCCACTCATCCCAGACCCGCTGCACCTGCCGCTGCCACCACTCAGTAGGCTCACTGCCACCCCGCTGCAGTCTCTGCGCACCCGTCCTAGGGCGATACCAGCACGCCCATGACTGAGAAGTGGCTGCAGGCTCATGCCCAGTCAGTCCCAATGCTAGTACCGATCCTAGTCCCAGTCTGGTTGGGGGAGGGGCACGCAAAGGGAGTGTCCACAGGGGAGGCTTGTGCTGCTGCAGCTGCGCTCACCAGCCATGAGCCCAGCGTCTGGCACCCGTTGGTCAGCTGAGTGGTGCTGACCACCAGGGGGCAGCTCCTGCATTGAGCATATGCCCCCTGGTGGTCAGTGCACATCATAGCGACTGGTTAAACGGTTGAACAGTCACGTAGGCTTTTATATAGAGAGATACTGTATGTTTTAATGTATAATATAAATATAAATAACTTTTATAATCAATCCTATATAATAAAAAGCTAATATGCTAATGGCCATCACACTCTCACGCTGTCACACCATAACGGCTCAGACACTCAACACTGGGGAGAGAGGAATGGGGACCAGCCAGGCACAAATGAGCTCGTGAGAGAGGAATGCGGACCAGCCAGGCTGTGGCCTGGGAGAAGGACAAGCTGCCCGCCCTGCAGTCCCAGGCACCAGTGGCTGCACCTACACCTGTGGCCTGGGAGAGGGACAAGCCACCCACCCTGTGGTTCCAGGCGCCTGTGGCTGTGGCCCGGACGAAGCTGCCTGCTCACGGTCCCCTGTGGCTGTGGCCAGCCTGGGCAAAGCCAGCCTGTGCCCTGGGTGC